TGGCAAAAAGCCGCCACCTTGAATCGAGGCTGGAAGACTCGAAGGCTATAAGCCGCGCCAACAACGAGATCCTTCAACAAAATGAAGCCCTGAAGAAGCAGGCGGAGCTCAAGAGAGCTGAATCAAAGAGGATTGTGCATTCACATCGGAAGGCCTTTCTTGATTTTGCAAGACTAATCGTTGAGCCCTTCACTGAGGGGTTTCTCCAGCATGGAAACGAAGGGTCTGCCAAGTGCCAAAATCGGGAGATGAAACTTGACAAAGTACGGGAGTGGCTTACGCCATTATTGGAGGAAAATGTGGAACCCATTGAGATATACACAGGTGCAGAGCCGGCGGCCGACACCGAAAAGATCTTCTCACTATTATTTCGCGTGCAGGAGGTCGCCGCTACTGAAAAGGATCTAAAGGACGTAAGGGCCACATTGCGGTCGACAGAGGACGAGCACAGGCGTAACTTGGAGGGATTAAATGAACGATTGAAGAACGTAAAAGCACGCCACACCTTGCTTTGTGAAACGTTGAGGGCTCTTAGTGGATCGCCAGCGTCGGAGCAAAAGTTTGCAGAATGTCTTGAAAGTGGAACAATCGGCACCAGAGACAACATAGAGAGGTTACATCTCCTTCTGTCCAACTCGTCAGAAGCTAGGTTGCCGAAAACACATTCGGCCCGCGAGTGTCGGGACACCAGCTGCACCGCGGCCTTCTTACACAAGTTCCAGCCTCCCACCGGCGGGGATATCCACGCAGCCCCAGGATCGGCAGTAAACTGCAACATCTCCGACGAGCTGTCCCTTCTAGAGGAGGTAAAGATGTTCTGGGTCTTCAAAAAAGGCTTGGACGACAAACTATCTAGCACTTTCGCCTGGCGCGGCCCTGAGGCTGCTGACAGCAACCCTGTAGCAACACAATGGCCCCCGGACGACCTCCTAAGTGCTGTAGAAATATTGGGTGCCCTTAAGATTGACTGCATACTGTCTGTCTTGCAACAATTTATAGACGAAGGAGAAGGGCGAGAGGAAAAGAAGAACATACACAGTACAAAGGCAGAAAAAGCTATTCGTAGGATGGCAGAATTGGCAGGCTTGGATAGTAAAGAGATTTCTGTACGCCTGGATAGGAAGAAACCCGGTGATGGAAATCAATTCTTGTCCCAGAAAAGGGAACAGGACAGCACGAGCGACGAGGATATCGAAAACGACGTAGCCAAGAGTATTAAAACGACAGCTTTGAGACGGTGTGAGAGGCTGATAGAACGGATTGCCGTAATTCAATCGCGGTCCGAGGAGCAAGAAACGCGGCAGAAGCATGACTTGGAGAAGTTGTGGGCAATCTGTCAAGAGTGGCTCGGGTTGGGTGACCAGTGGCCCGATTCTTATGGGAAAAACACGAGTGGCCATAGCGCCAAGCTGACGTTGGGCGACCAGTTTGCGTTCATCATCAATGCCATAGAGGACGCAGCCCAAAACTTCCAAAACATAGAAAGAACATACGACAATCAGTACGAAGAGTTCAAAGCTAAGGCTGAACCTGACGTCGAGTTATCGAAAATTTTGAACATGACGACCTGGCCATCCGATGTGGATGGCTTTCCGGAAAGGATATTACACAAATCGAGTGCGCTTCAACAAATCAAGGATCTCCGCCTTGAAATCAGCAGGGCTCAATTCATCTTCGCTCTCAAAGATTTCAATGCTGCAAAAACGGATAGCCAAACAACGGAATGCATTCTGGAATCGGCAAAGAGCGGCGGCTTGTACTACGAGGGGCTCACCGGCTATCTGGGGACAGCTTCATTACATAGTGATGCAGCCCGAGTAAAGAGGTCGGAAGGGTCCGATGCGGCAGGATTAAGTAAGATTTTCTCTTTCTATGATCCAATCATACAACTAGTATTATCGATACAAAGAAAAAACGCGGAGCAAGCATCTTGGATTTCAGATTGCTCCAGAAAGATGATAGACTTGTACACCAAATATGGTGGAAGTAGCCGCATTGTGGTGAGCGGCACGAAGAAACCAGAAGAAATGATGCGTAACGAAAATGAAGCACTCACCTCCCGGCTCGAGACCTTGGTAACATTCGTGGCCGAGCTTCCGAGTCAGAGGCAGGACAAGCCCGCTATTAAGTTCGCTGGAGAGGATCGCCGTGCAACCAAAGAGCTTAATGCGGCGATTGCCAAAAGCCCAGATAATATGGCGACATTCGAGAAGTTGGCCAGTATAATTCACGACGCCGAGGCGAAGCTTGATAA